TGCATTGACGGATACGTTTCCGATCGCATAACCCATTTTTATATATTCTTAATAAGCATCCACAGCCGATTCGATATAGCCATGCCATATATATCGGTCTATCTATCTTTTTTTATGTGGGCAAGTTTCTCAGTTTTGAACTTGATAAAATATATATATATATATATGAATATATCCGCGTTTTTGCAGGCATTACAACTAAGTTGTAGCTCACAACGAATTCTCATATTGATTGATGTTAGAATAATATATTTAACAGCTGAATTCAGGGTTTCTTCTAGTCGAGCTCTCTCGACTAAGGCCTTCTTACATGTTCATTGTAGCACATGTCCCAGATGAGCCATTGGATTGTATCGAAAGAGCTAATGTATATATTTGATATTACCCGCATTTTGCTGGGAAAAATAGTTTGACGGATTTAACCGCCGAGCTTTTAAAAGCTCACAAAAGCCGGAAGCGCTGCTAATGTTAAGTTGACCATCTAGATGGTAACATGACCAAAAGGTAATAGTTCATTTAACGTGACCTCTTACCTTTATAGCTGGACTTGACCTTTCTATGGGCTAAAACTGAAATTGATAAGCTAAAAGCGTTTAGCAGAGTTAATTAAATACCAACTGCATACGCAGTTATGGCTATAATCAAATGAATGCACTTAATTTATGCAAGAATAGTAATCAATTTAATTAAACATAAGCAGTATAACACACTATATTCATGCCACACTCTCACTCTTCTCTCTCTCTTTTTCTCTCTTTCTCTGTGTGTACCTCGCTCTTTTGTTAATGACATTTAAAAAGCCTGAACACGGTCCTTTAGTGCATAACAACCTGGCCTGATTTTGCGTCACGACCCCTTCCTGACATTAGCTCTGCTGCGACCCTTCTGCACTTGTTAACATGCAATGGTCTGTTTTTTTTTTCTTATTTTCTTTTCTGTAGTTATTGTTGTTGTTGTTTTGCCGCTGAAACGGAGAATTTATTGTAATGCGATTGCCGGGCCATTTGGGTTGCATGTGGCAAACACGACAAACAACAACTAACCAGAGAGAAATATCGATTCTAGCATGTTGTCAGGCAATGGCTAACCGTATGAATGTGTATGTGTCCGTGTGTGTGCGCATGCTTGTGTGTGTGTGTGTGTGTGTGTGCAAGTCTAAGGTAAATAATAATATATATTTGTACGCCTTTCATGCGCACACAGACGAAGTTAAAAATTGATTTCCCCTAAATGACGCTGGCAACTAAACACAAACAGAAACCAAAACCGAAACAGACGCACAGATACAGATACAGATACGAATACAGATACATTCACAGAGACGGGCACAGATACAGATACACAAGTTCGGAGCTCGTCGCGTTGGTATCTAAAAGTGCGCCGCCGTATCTCATGCATACCATCGTTCCATGTGTTTGGGTGTGTGTCTAACTCTACGTTTTACACGTAGTCTCTGGTCGCATAGCCTGATATCTCTGGCAATACTATTTACTTAGTTTCGAAATTGAAATGTATGCAAATGCCGCCACATTTTTCGTTCTAATAATAAAAAGGGGTCTGTGGTCGTAGTTGTAGTTGCCGCGCCAGCTTGAAAATCGATAAGCTCTTTTTGGCGATACAAGCAGCTGATTGCGTGAGAAACAAGTCCAGCAAATTGTTTCTTTTTTATACATACATATACCAAGAAACCCATCGGAAATGGGTATAAAAAAGAGTATGCCGTAGTTGCGCAAAAGGATGTAACAGCAAGAAGGAAGCAATTCCCAGCTAATCAGGTCTATATATTCTTGATCAGTACAGCAACCGACTCAATCTGTCACATTTTTGAGGACATATCTTTCAAATCTGGTATGCACATGCATTGAAATAATATTGATCATCTGCTGAAATTTATTTAAATTTATTATTTCGTACATAAACCATTTTTTGGATAGTAGTACTTTCTATAGCTTTTTTTTATGTCTAAAGTATGATTCACTTAGAAGTTAATGCTTTCTGAAAGGTAATTAAATGACCTTTAATAACATTTTAATTTAAAAAAGTTTCATTAAAAACAGAAAAACCTTATTAATGTATATAAAAAACCTTCCAAATCATGATTCCGTTGTTGGGAAATACCTTGTCATGGTCAAGGACATATTCAGCACTGTCAGCCAGATTTGGTTCAATATATCGGAACTATGATAGTTAAAGACTTGATTTCAGGGTATCTCCCAGTCGAGCTCTCTCAACAAAAAGCCCAACTTGTTTATTTTTTATCCGCGAAAATGGAATATTTCAAATTGTATTTCAGCTTTTAAAAATTAAGATTTATGCTTGTTGTGGCCCCCCTTGGGAACGATTCCACTTTTGAATTGATTGTTGCGCCATTTGCTGGCCAATTGCTGTTATAAAGCTCACATTAAGCTACACGCATATTTGTGGCAATTGTTTAGGGCTGTTGTCCAAATATTTACTCTCATTTAAGAGAACGTCCAAACAATTATTTGGTTGTCTGAGCACATTTTCTGCTAAAAGAGATTTTTGTTGTCTGCCACTTTTTCAGTTTGTTTGTTAATTAAATTAAAGTGGTTCAGCAGATAGCGGCACTCTACAAATAATGCATGTCTAATCAATTTAACCTAGTTTATTTATGTTGCATTGTTTAGAACTTGCAGCTCTTCTAATTAAATACTGCCAGCGTTGAAATTTAAGTTCAAGTTTTGTTGCATTTCCTTGTTTTCCTACTTAGCCGATAATTTGTTTGGCTTAAACTGTTGTGATATGTTAACAAATTGATGGAAAGTGTGCTGGAAATTGAACAACGAACTTTCCTTTTGCACTGTAACACAATACCCGCATATGCATTCATATTTAGCTGATGTGTTGTAATTAATGCAACTTTTATGCAATAAGTTGGAGCTGTTGGCTTAGTAGTAATGATGATGTTGGCTGGTAACTAAGCCAAACAGATGCAAATTGTGTGCCCAATTGCATTTTGGCCAGGTAGCCTGAGTGAAAGAGAGAAGAAGCAGCTCAAAGAAGTTAACTAAGAAACACTCGCATTATGGTTAACACTGTTAGCACTGTTAACTAACAGCGCTGCACATTCAATCGGCTAACAGAGCCTGCTGTGCTCTGACTTTAACCATTTGATTTACGGCCTGTGGCCTTAGTGACTGCAATGAGTCAGCCACTGTAACAGCAGACAAGACTACATCTGCGTATGTGTACAGTGCTGGCAAGGGAAATAATGCCATTAATAGTTAGCAGCTTTAAACAGCAGATAACAGTCTTAGTTATCTGAACTCGAATTTGTTGTGTTTTGTGCGTTGGAAAGGGATTATATGCTTATGTTAAATCAACCACCGAATGCTGCAAAAAATTGTCCACCAACGATTAAATATAGAGGTAATGGTTTGGTTTTATTTACTTACTATCGAGTAGCTCAGAATCGTCCTGATTCTACATATCTACATTGAAATGTTTCATATTGTAATATATTTTCCTGTTGGAATACTTCTTAACATAGCAGCAAGAAAGCACGAAAGAGGCTTAGAACCATAAATTTATTGGCATATAATGTGCATCATACCCGGCAGATCTAAGACCCATCAAGAGTGAACTGAAGCTAAAATTACAGTTTATGAAGCCAAAACGATGCATAACGAATAGCTTCGGGAGTGGAGCTGCTTTCATTGTCTTAAAAAAATCGATTTTGTTAAAAATAATTGGTTTATTGAAAGCAACAAATACTCAACCAAAAATGGTTATTTTGGTGCTATATTTTCTTCCAGAGCTGTAAATACATGAATTTGTGCATGTATTTGAAGGCATGTGTATCTAATTTGATGCGCCGGCTGCCGACTGGCTGACGGATGCACAGACATTTAACATTTCTATTTAGCTTGCACGCGCCAGTCTGTGCACCCATCCACCCCCTCGCTAACCCCACCCAACCCACCTCTCTCCCGCCCCGACAACGTCTCTTTATGCGCACAGTTTCTGTCTGCGCTGCACAATTTCAAGTACCCGACCCCGCACTCCGCAGCGCATCAGAAAAAGGGGAGCAAGTTTAAATGCAACGAGCAAAACTCAATGCACCCCAAAAGCAGACGTCCCTCAGCACCACCCTACCCCACCCCACCCTTCTAACCCATAGCTGGGGGTAAAACCCATTTGCCAGTTGCGCTGTGTGTGTGAATGTTTGGGTGTGTGGGTGAGCCGACCCGCTTGTTTGTTGGGGCGTCAACCGGCGCCGTGCTGCTTTATTAGATTGCTGTAAATAAGTTTATGACGTGCCCCAAAAAAAATGAAGAATACTTAAAAAAATGATAGCATCTTCGGCATGCAGCAAGAATGAAACTAGTTAAGAATCTGTTCGTGTGCTCATTACTGTGAAATTTGTTAAGTTAGTTGGACAGGTAACCTGAGGTGTTTATGTGAGGGAATTTCTATGACTTCATATGGCAAAGTCAGTGTCGAATTTACATGCAGCCGACTCCGACTCTGACTCTGACTCCGATTGCGACTCGAACAAAAGACGAACTTGTAAGTAAAACTGCAAAATGGCATAAGCTGGCATTGTAATGCACATTGCACATTGCCAGACATCGTGGAGTCGCCTCAGATATTTCCTCATTTGAAATTCTACGACAGTGTGTCAGCAAAGAAAATGCTTTGGAAATAAGCAATTTCTGCATGGCATTTGTGCACTTTGAGAAATTGTTTTGCTTTAGTTTTGCTACACAATGCAACAAGAAAATCAAAGAAAAAAGTTGTTTCGTTTTATTACTGTATTTTTACAGTCTTTTTACTTACCATTCGCACACACCCCCTTTTGCATAACAAAGCGGCGCCACTGTGTATTATGTCATGAACGCATTTGACAACTAACCACGACGACGATAGTCGTTTGCTTGGTTTGTCCAAGTTTTTTTTCTACATTAAAGCTTTGCGTTTTCTAAAAATTATTTGATCTAATTTAAGATTACCATTCTTCTGGTCTATTTTTATTACAGCACCGACGGCACAGAATCCCCTATACTGGCTGAAGACGGTGGCGATGGGCACGATAAACCGCGTTTGCGATACGGTGAATTAGTTATACTTGGGTAAGTACAATGCTACACATATATATATATATTTTTTTATGTCATTTAATATAATATTCAAATGACTGTGAAGAGCTAGTTTGCATTGTCTCATCCCGTCCATTTAACGAATGTTAGTTCCAAGGGTATCCAGAAAGAATAAGTCAAAAGTTTGAGTTTCGATAATAGAATTCGATTTCTGACAGTAAGTTCAAATAACTTCCAAACGTTGTTCTGAGGGCACAAATTGAATTATGAACTAAGCTTAATCCGCATTTGATATAACTAGATTTATTTTCAATATATAAAGCCTGAAGTTCTTATAGTCTCCGAGATACTATACCTTATGGGGTCGAATATGTATATGCACGGCAAAATTATAGTAGGCTCTACAGGGGTATAATAATACAATATGATAATTAATATTTTCAAGCATTCTGTATGAAATTCTTGTGGTTTTTAAATGTGTTTTTGTCCCAGTGTGCGATGACATGTAACCGCCGTCGTGTTACCTGACTTGACCCCTGCAATCCCAAGTTGAAGTCTAGTGTGACTAGGTAACAAAAGGCTTTAAACACTAAACTGTTGCTGTAAGCTGTAAGCCACAAGCAGTCAACCAACCAACCAAACAGGCAACCCGGCAGTCGGCCACATAAATTAGATTCACGCTGCAATCGCCAGTGTAGCCAAGATTGATGATTTTAACTGGCAGCTGTGCGACAGACAGCTTGTAAATCTTGATGGCTGTCTGACTGGTTGGTTGGCCAGTTGTCTGGTCAGCTGTCCGTTGTCTGGCCAAAACGCTTGACATTGCGCTGATTATCCAACGCGCCCGAAACGTCGGTGTTTGACTCGCATGTGAATTGTGATGGGTAAAGTCGTTTTCACTTGATCTTGAGTCTTGTCATTAGAACATAGTAATTCTTCTTCTGCTCGTTATCTGAACACTTTTTAATTGCCTTTGCTAGCCCAGAGAGACAGAGTTAGACTTTCGTTTATTGTGTGCTGCCTGCCACAAGCCGCAAGCTGTGTCCATCTGTCGGCCTGTCAGCAAGTCAATTTTTCATTTTTCCTAAAGCCTAATGCGTGCTGGCTTTGCCAGCGACGAGCTGTGGCAATCAACAGGCTAGTAGGCTAAAACAACTAAATCTTTTACCTAACGCACATTTACCGCCCACTTTAATGACATCTTTAGTCTGTGCGACAAGACATCCAAAGAACCGGTATAAAAAGAACAGTCAGCGTTATAGTTATTATTGTGGTCGTTGCCAAGTCAAGTCTTAATTGTTTAACAACAACAATTTTGTAGCCTTGTCACTTGTCAGCTTGTGTTTGCTAATGCGTTAAATATCACTTACAACTTGGTAAATGTGCCTACATTTATATTTCAGAAGTATCAAGAACCAAATAATTACAGACCACAAAAATGTCAACCTATTGTAGAATTATTTTTGGAATTGGAATTGGATTTTTAATGGAATTCGTTTCTGTTTGTGTTTGTATTTGTGTTTGGGTCTCACTTGGATTCTTCCAAGAACTTTTTGTTTTTATGTCGGTAGGCAATATTTATTTTTCTCTTTGCTACATAATTCCAAAGAAACTGTTTCACAATCAATGTTTTTATTTTATCGTTTCTGAAGTGGCGTATGTTTTGGGTTGATCGGCACGTTTCCAAATCGAAATAAAATCGTCTACATTATATTATTGATATTTTATGTGGGCTGTCAGCTCATTAAATTGTCAAATGTTAGAAACTGTGGAACTATTCTCAGCTGTGTGATGTATATATGTATGTGCATGGTTTGTCTAAAATGCTTTTAGTGATCTGTGCTCTGACTTTAACATAGGTTCATTTAGGTTTTATTTGCTTTCTATATTACAATAAATTCAGTTAACGATCATGATTCGTTTCTTAAGTTGCTGGTATTGCGAACATCTCTTTAAAGACACATTGTTCATATATTTAACAATTTAATGCGATATTTTTGTTGCTTTGATCATTATTGCTGACTAATAAGCGTAGTTGTCCCATAAAACATAAACGATGTCGTAAAGTGACAGATGAAAGAATGTTTCTTTTTTATTGAGACTTACTTGTTTTGTTGTTCTCATTAAACGGCACTAAATTGATCGAATGACGAGTGTATGTTGTGCTCAGAACAAGTCAAAAAATAATCCAAACGAATTGCGGCTCATCCAATAGATCTAAAATTCTGCTTCTTTCGGAGTTCTTTCCATTGAGTATTCACTGTATGCTCATAGTTTGGACCAAGAAGTCAAAAACCCCTTTGATGGGTGCTCTGCGTGTCGTTTGTGTCTATAATCAAAGATCGATCTGTGTGCGTCGCTATGAAAATACCTTTAATAGCCTATTCGATTTAACAACTTGAATACTGATTTGGATAGAATTCCTCTAATGATCCGGTAATTAACTTATCGACTCGCCCGTGTGGCCAATATAAAAGAAAGATGCTTTTAAGTTATTGTTACACATTATTTGTTGTTGCCAATGGCGGCGGGGGCATATCTAATTATGTAAACACATTGCCGACGCAGAACTTGACCTATAAACTGAATAAATTACACGCTGACACATACAGAGAAATGTAGATATAAATTGCATGTGTTTGTTTCGTAATAATGTTGACTCCACTGGGACCTCAATCCATATTACAGCAGGCATAATCATAAATCAGCCGTAGAACGTTAAACTCATTGAATACTTACATTTAATATGGTTTCATTTGTGTCTCCGCGTTTGCAGCTACAATGGCTACTTGCCGCAGGGTGATCGTGGTCGGCGACGCTCCAAATTTGTGCTGCACAAACGAACGGAGCCGAGCGGCGTTAGACGCTCCAAGCATTACATCGTACAATCACCACAGACATCGAAGGCCATACTGGATGCCAACCAGCACTCGATATCGTATACACTATCACGCAGCCAGGCCGTCATTGTCGAATACAAGGAGGACAAGGAAACGGACATGTTTCAGGTGAGTCTTAAAACTTTCATATTTCCTATTTCCAGCAAGTATCCCAACAATAAAATAAAATAAAATCATGGCAAAGTGACAACATTATAATAATTGAAATGTTGGATCCACAATCCTATAAAGCTTAATGTGGTTTCTGGTAGTCAGCAAAAAAGAGATCACCTTGCCAATGATAGCTCAGCTTATTACTCGGAATATACAAATATAAAGTATATAAACTCAGGTTGTCTTTCTTTCTTAAAACCATGGTTTTTCGCTTTTTAACTCTAGGGGACCATTTTTTTTTTGAGTGTAGGAAAAATATGTCTAAATTTAAAATTAAAATGTTACTGATATCTGAACTTGCGATCATTCGTTCGCTAGAGAGAGCATCTTCTGTAAAAATACCAGTTTGCAGTTCAAAATTTTTAGAAACATTTTTGTACAGCTCTGAAGATGAGTCCCAACGGTATTTGAAATATATCTGAATAAAAACGACACTTGACGTGAAACTAGCGAAAAGCATATTCAAAATATTTGTTTTGCCAAGAAATATAATTCTGAATGTATAAAAAAGCGACCTAATTTGAAGAATATGTTTCGTAAATATAGAAATTATTATTTTAACTGAATCACTTCGTTCCGCTCTTTGAAAGCATTCTTTGTGGGAGGGTAAAATGCACCGTTAAAAGGTCAATTGTCATTACCTAGCAGAGCACGGAGAACATCCATAATATAAGCATATTGATTAGCCATTGTGACAACTGGCCTGGCAACGTGTTCATTTCCATTTGAACTTCTTTATTGGATTGAGGTGTAATACCAATATCGCATGATTCGCCATTTGAACATTTGATAAATTGCTCGAAGTGCTTGAACGACATGGAGAGTGGCATTAAATATGCATTATGTGTATGTTAATGTGTCTGTGTGTGTGTCTGTATTTGTGTGTGTGTGCCTGTGTGTGTATTTAGATATATTTTTGGGTCAATCGATGATGAGGGCGACTTAATCAGCGTGGGCTTTTTTGACTAATCACACAATCACTCATCTATTTCTTCTTCTTTTGTTGTTGTTGTTGTTTTGTTAGGTGGGACGTTCATCAGAATCGCCAATTGATTTTGTGGTAATGGACACGCTGCCCGGTGATAAGAAGGATGCGAAGGTGATGCAGAGCACGATTTCACGTTTCGCCTGCCGCATTTTGGTGAATCGCTGTGAGCCCGCCAAGGCGAAAATCTTTGCCGCCGGCTTCGATTCGAGCAGAAACATATTCTTGGGCGTAAGTAAAATTGATTTGAATAGTATGTTATATCAATTTGCATACTCATATTGGATTTGATTGAAATTCACAGGAAAAGGCCACAAAGTGGCAGGATAATGTGGAAATAGATGGCCTGACCACAAATGGCGTTCTAATCATGCATCCCAAAGGCTCGTTCTGTGGCGGCAATGCCAAGTGCGGTCTCTGGCGTGAATGCTCCGTGGGTGGCGATGTATTCAGTCTGCGCGAGTCGCGTTCGGCACAACAAAAGGGTCAGCCCGTAAGTTGATTTCATGAGTATGTTCATGGAAATTGAAATTAATCTAATAAATATATTTTGTTTCACACAGATCTATGATGAGTGTAATATCTTGCAGGATGGCACACTCATTGATCTCTGCGGCGCAACGCTGCTCTGGCGTTCCGCCGAGGGCTTGCAACATTCACCGGTAAACACTTGGCTAACACAAATCATTATGGATTGATAATGACAAGGTGTCGTTTATTTGCAGACCAAACACGATTTGGAAAAGCTTATTGATGCCATCAACGCTGGTCGTCCACAGTGCCCGGTGGGGCTCAATACACTGGTTATACCCCGCAAAGTGACTATCAGTGATCAGGTTAATCAGCCTTATGTGTACTTAAACTGCGGCCATGTGCAGGGTAAGTCAATAGTCACAGTCAATCATCAATTTAATTAATTGTCAATTTGCCAATTAGGTCATCATGATTGGGGTCAGGATGAGAACACTGGTGCACGCCGTTGTCCCATGTGCCTAGAACTGGGTCCAGTTGTTACCTTGTGCATGGGCCTGGAGCCGGCCTTCTATGTGGATGTAGGTGCACCCACTTTTGCATTCAATCCATGTGGTCACATGGCGACTGAGAAAACTGTCAAGTAAGTGAGATAGATGGACAGCAAATTTTCTTTTTAATACTGATATGTGTCACATTTATTTCTATTTATCAGATACTGGGCAAATGTGGAAATACCGCATGGAACCAACGGGTTTCAGGCCGTTTGTCCATTCTGTGCGACACCGCTGGATGGCGCGACTGGTTATATTAAATTAATTTTCCAGGATAATTTAGATTAAATATGTATATGTATGTGCACATCTTTATAGTAGATATGTATTTGTAGTAATTGAACAATGTCGAAGTTTGAAGCAGGCATTAAAACTAGGCTTTATTTATTATCATTATATAATTAATTATACGTGTAATACGAATGAAATGCATGAAAAAGTATAATTTAAAAACGAAAGTGAATTATATACATATGGATGTATTTTGTAAAAGTTAATTGCTTTAATTACTATATTACAAATGTTTAGTAATTATTTAAACGCAATCATTTGCAAATATCAATTACATGCAATACATCCCAAATTGCATGTCATACATACTTTGATGTTATTTTGTTTCCTATACATTTGTCTGTTGTATAAATTATTTCCAACGAGCAACAAAAGCAACAAAGATGCAAATTGCGTAATAAATTTGATGAGCATTGATGTGAGCAGCAATAATTGAATGAATTATTTGATTTAATTGCACTGATTCAAGCTGCCAGCTGCCTAAACTGTGTATATGTAATTCTGTATAAACATAAGATTCAAACCTCATTTAAATATTACCAACCATCAATTATGTTTTCCCATTCGCGCAGGAGAAAAACAAAATCAATCGACAACAAACCACACAAACACAACACCACACCACAATTGATGTATTTTTGTTTTACCAAATCTAGAGCTTACATACTTATTAAAACAAGAAATCACAATTAAGATTACGAATACTATTTTGCGTAACAATTGAAAGCAAGTTCTAAAAATATGTACAGTTTAAAAACTTTGCTGAGATTTGAATTACTAAAACCATTTAACGCATTTATGAAAGATTACATTGTCTCGTCCCTTCATATACATATATCTATAAATATATGAAATTTCTGCCTGTACGCATTTTGCATTATTTTATGTTTATTACTATTACATTATATCATAACATTATTTGTATTATTATTTTGTATGCTAAAAGAAAAAAAGTTCAACAAAAAACACGCTGTGTTCAGAAAAATGTTGCGACACGATTATGTTAACAATTACAACATTGCAAACAAAAAAAAGTAAATAAATATAAACTGTAAAATAAAAATTTCTAGCGATACACACATACATACATACGCGAGTATATTTTCATTAAAGCGTGCAGTGCATAAAAACAAAGTTTTCTTGTGTTTGCAATTTCTAGCAATGCGCGGTAAACGAAACCAGGGCTACATACGACAGTAGTGTTGAAAAATGCTTGCTAAAACCATGAACTTGATAATCGATGATTCGTGGTTCTCACTGAACATATCATAAGCACCGATACGTATGATACCACACTGAAAAAACTTGCTGAAATTTACCATCCCATTTACTAAGTATTTATAAATGTCGGGACGGCGCGAACGCCATTCCCGGCTACCAAAAATTACACGCACGAGTTATTCACATTAGGAATAATCGCAGAGGTCAACTCAGCCGAATGTGCAATGACCGAGCCTCACTCCGGAGGAACCGCCTTCGTGATCACGGTTAACCTCTACGCCGTAAGTATGCTTTCCTCAGCTCAGCAACTGGACTACCATGGTCGCACTGTTAGAACCGCTTGTGAGTCACTCATATCGACAACTGCAATATTCGAATGGAACCCATACAGTTATATTTAAATTCAAATGTGTGTTTTTAGAAAGTTTATTCCACTTTTTGCTCAACTCACAATATAAAAATATTCGTACAGAGTTCGGTATCAGAAATGAATGGCTATTTGATCGATTCTCGTTCCGCTTAGAACCGTAAGTATTGGGTGTCAAGGAAGAAATCGTTGTCGAATCGACTATAGTTGGCGTATCCCTTGTACTTGTAGTAGGGCTCCATGGTGTCAACGTGATAGATGGAGACATCCTTGAAGTACATGTTCGGCACGAAGAATTCGTACTCATCGATCTCGCGATCGAAGGGATAACCGAATGGCGAACTATCGACGAAGCGAGCACCGTCGCCAATGCCGCAGGAGTAGGTGTAGTCATAGGTGGAGAGCTGTTTGTGGGTAGTGGGTGCGCTGTATGGAACGACCATGAAGAACATCTGCATGGGCATGCCCTCCTCCCAGCCCATGGGCAGGATTAGGCGATCGGGGAAGCCGCAGTGAGGCTCACTGATGTCCAGAGGGAAATCGTATTTGCCATCAAAGGCCATCACTATGTAGTGGTAGAGTTCGCTATAGCTGGTGCGATCCTTGACGGTCCAGCTGAAGTCGATGGACTGGCGGAAGATCTCATTGCTGCCAGCCTTCAGTTCGTAGTAGAACTCATCTATTTTCATGAAGTTCATTCGGTTTTCAGCAAGAGAAATGACGCTGCCGAACTCATCGAATTTGGGTCCAATGAATGCACGGATAACAACCTTCTCATCCTTGTCGGACTCCACAGTATAGGTGTAACTGAAGGGCCTGTGATTGAGACGCATCTGGCGAGCGTATAGAGACTTGTCCCAGACGAACTTGCCATCGTGGAAGACCATCTTCTCGTTCATCAGATTGGTCACATCAAAGTCAACCAGATCGAAGTAGGTGACCAGTGGGCTGACATTCACATGCTTGAGTGTGACGCCGTGCATCATCAGATTTTCCTTGCTGTATTTGGGCAGGTAGTGCATGAACTTGAAGTACACCTGAACGATGTGCTTGTAGAACATGTAGTACATGGGATCGCGCATCATTGTCTCGAAGTTGAGCATCACGTTGGGGTAGACCTCCATTTCGTAGACGTCGGCATCGGCGAAGTACATATGGGCGAACATGTACCAGAACTGGTAGAACATCTTGTCGAAACTATCAATGTTGCCCTGGAGCATATTGCCAATATATTCAATGGATTCGGGCTTGCGCAAATCGATGATTTCACCATTGGTGGTCTTGTAGTAGCCCATGTCGATAATGTCGTAAATGCGCTTCATGAAGCCGGTGATCTTGCCGAGCATATCGAAGTTGCCATAGGTCTCCAATTCGTAGTAGTTCTTGCGGTAGCTGTAGCCAATGCCGTTGTAGTAGATCAGCTGGGGATCGTAGCCCATCTCGATTTCGTGGTACCACGAGAACTCGGGAATCTCACCAAGGCCATGAGACAGACGCTCCATGTAGTAGCGGGACAGCAGTTGGTGGACGGTGTAGAGCCACATTTCTCCACGACGATCGATCTTCAAGCCGAAGGTGTTGCCATCGAGAAAGAAGGAGTAGTCAATGTTCAAGTAGTACCAGTATGAGTTCCAGCCCAAATCCTCGGTGAAGTAGGAAAGTTTGGATTCCTCGTTGTAGACATTAAGATCGCGAGTGTAATCGACAGGCATCCACCAGACCTTGAAAGCCTTCATCATTTGCTTCGTGTCAATGGTGAACATGAACTTCTCCGTGGTGGACCAGTGCTCGCCGATACCCACCAGTTTCCACCACTGCCACATCTTCCAGTCCTTCATGTACATGTAGTCGCTGTTCTGATTCATGTTGCTATATTCGTGTCCCTTGAAGTAGACATCCATGTACTCCTTCTCGTACATGACCATCTTGCTCCACATCTCATAATCGAACTTCTCGGCCTCGTACACAAATTTGCTGTTGAAGAAGAACTGTGGGAAGATCTCATAGATGGTGGGCAGTATCACGCGATGGAAGTCCGGACGATGGGTGACAGCCAGAGTCAAAGCATAGACGAACATGCCCTCGTTAACATGCATGCGAGCCCAGCACACGTTGTGGTAGAAGGTCTCCCAATCCTTGGCATAGTAGAAGAAGTTGAATAGACCGCGTGCCTGCTTGGCATGAGTTTTGACCAGCTGGCCGAAGAACTCGCCCTTGGGCAGCAGTGAGTGCGCCTTGAACGCCTCTGCGAACTTCTTCATGTAAATGTCATAGTGCTATTTGGGGAATCAAATGCGAGATGACTTAGAAGGAGGCCACTTGAGATGTGTCTTGCGATGTCACTTACAGTATAGTAGGCCTCGTCAAAGTAGAAATTTTTGCCATCCTTGATGTACTCCTCGAACATCAGTGGATCCTCCACACGGTAGACAATCTCGAAGAAAAACTTCTGTTTCTCTAGGAAGGCCTTGTCGGTGATCTTGACCTCGAACGCAGCGACCACGCCCAAACAGGCCAGCAAAACAATTGCGATTTTCATGTTGAAGAGTCCTCTGGTTACACCTGCTCTACCTCAGCTACTGATTCAACTGCTCCGGATTAGACACACTCAGTTGGAGTCCAATGCCTGTTGCTTTTTCGGCAGCCAGCACGCTGCTTATATACCCCAAAGAAATCGAACACAGCCCAGAAATATCTGTCGCAGCCGGGTTCAGGGGTCACGGTGGCGCCAGAGCTTATCTCAGGTGCTTGGAACATCTGTTGTCGAAATCAGAGCGTATTTGTCATCACGAGCACAACATGTCTTATCAATCACCAAGATAATTCCAATTATTCAAATAAATTTAAAGTTATGTTAACAATTACAACATTGCAAACAAAAAAAGGTAAATAAATATAAACTGTAAAATAAAAATTTCTAGCGATACACACATACAAATATACATACGCGAGTATATTTTTTCATTATAGCTTGCACTGCATGAAAACAAAGTTTTCTTGTGTTTGCAATTTCTAGTAATGCGCGGGAAACGAAACCAGGGCTACATAGGACAATAAGTGTTGAAGAATGCTTGCTAAAATACGGCAACATCGATAAACTTGATAATCGATGATTCGTGGTTCTCACTGAACATATCATAAGCACCGATACGTATGATACCACACTGAAAAAACATGCTGAAATCTACCATCCCACTCACTAAGTATTCATCAATGTCGGGACGGCGCGAACGCCATTCCCGGCTACCAAAAATTACACGCACGAGTTATTCACATTAGGAATAATCGCAGAGGTCAACTCAGCCGAATGTGCAATGACCGAGCCTCACTCCGGAGGAACCGCCTTCGTGATCACGGTTAACCTCTACGCCAGGTAAGTATGCTTTCCTCAGCTCAGTAACTGGACTACCCTGTTAAAACTGCTTGTGAATCACAAGTTCGTCGCAATGTAATATGCCGCCAAAAGTATACAACACATTTTGAAAATTGCCAGTGGTGGTGAATTCACGTATGCAATAAATAGCGCAAAGCCGATTTAGTAGTTGCTGCTGCGGATGCAAATCTCGAATTTGGTTGCAAGTAGCACTGTTTATAATATTATAAAATCGCTGAGCAGTTATTTATAAAATGTTTTCTGCACAAAGTGTGCGATTTTATGTATTATTTATCGTTGCTTTTCTCAAAAGTAAATAGACTTTTATCTGATTTTTTAAAAATATAATTAAATGTTTAGTTCATTCATATGGAGAACACATCACATTGTTTGCTATTAAGCACATCGACAACTGCAATATATGAATGCATCCCATATTGTTGTATTTAAATTCAAATGTTTGTGTTTTTAGAAAGTTTATTCCACTTTTTGCTCAACTTACAATCTAAACATTTGCGACAATTTCAAAATATTCGTACAGAGTTCGGTATCAGAAATGTATTGCTATTTGATCGATTCTCGTTCCGCTTAGAACTTGAAGTACTTGGTGTAGTAGTCACGGAAGAAAGTGTAGTCGAATTGACCATAGCTGGAGTATCCCTTGTACTTGTAGTAGGGCTCCATGGTGTCAACGTGATAGATGGAGACATCCTTGAAGTACATGTTCGGCACGAAGAATTCGTACTCATCGATCTCGCGATCGAAGGGATAACCGAATGGCAAACTATCGACGAAGCGAGCGCCGGAGCCAATGCCGCAGGAGTAGGTGTAGTCAAAGGTGGAGAACTGTTCGTGGGTAGTGGGTGCGCTGTATGGAACGACCATGAAGAACATCTGCATGGGCATGCCCTTCTTCCAGCCCATGGGCAGGATTAGGCGATCGGGGAAACCGCAGTGAGGCTCACTGATGTCCAGAGGGAAATCGTATTTGCCATCGAAGGCCATCATCACGTAGTAGTAGAGCTCGCTGTAGCTGGTGCGATCCTTGACGGTCCAGTAGAAGTCGTTAGACTTGCGGGTGATCACATTGCTGCCAGCCTTCAGTTCGTAGTAGAACTCATCCATTTCCATGAAGTTCATGCGGTTTTCAGCAAGAGAAATGACGCTGCCGAACTCATCGAATTTGGGTCCAATGAATGCACGGATGACAACCTTCTCGGCCTTGTCGGACTCCACAGTGTAGGTATAGGTGAAGGGCTTGTGATTGAGACGCATCTGGCGAGCGTATAGAGACTTGTCCCAGACGAACTTGCCATCGTGGAAGACCATCTTCTCGTTCATCAGATTGGTCACATCAAAGTCAACCAGATCGAAGTAGGTGGTCAGTTCGCTGACATCCACATGCTTGAGTGTGACGCCGTGCATTATCAGATTTTCCTTGCTGTATTTGGGCAGGTAGTGCATGAACTTGAAGTACACCTGAACGATGTGCTTGTAGAACATGTAGTACATGGGATCGCGCATCATTGTCTCGAAGTTGAGCATCACGTTGGGGTAGACCTCCATTTCGTAGATGTCGGCATCGGCGAAGTACATATGGGCGAACATGTACCAGAACTGGTAGAACATCTTGTCGAAACTATCAATGTTGCCCTGGAGCATATTGCCAATATATTCAATGGATTCGGGCTTGCGCAAATCGATGATTTCACCATTGGTGGTCTTGTAGTAGCCCATGTCGATAATGTCGTAAATGCGCTTCATGAAGCCGGTGATCTTGCCGAGCATATCGAAGTTGCCATAGGTCTCCAATTCGTAGTAGTTCTTGCGGTAGCTGTAGCCAATGCCGTTGTAGTAGATCAGCTGGGGATCGTAGCCCATCTCGATTTCGTGGTACCACGAGAACTCGGGAATCTCACCAAGGCCATGAGACAGACGCTCCATGTAGTAGCGGGACAGCAGTTGGTGGACGGTGTAGAGCCACAGTTCTCCACGACGATCATTCTTCAGGCCGAAGGTGTTGCCATCGAGGAAGAAGGAGTAGTCCATGTTCAAGTAGTACCAGTATGAGTTCCAGCCCAAATCCTCGGTGAAGTAGGAAAGTTTGGATTCCTCGTTGTAGACATTAAGATCGCGAGTGTAATCGACGGGCATCCACCAGACCTTCAAATCTTTCATCATTTGCTGCCATTTGGTGTCCTGGTTGAACTCATAGATGTTCTCACGGAGAATGAACTTCTGCTCGCTGTACCAGTGCTCGCCGAGACCCATCAGTTTCCACCACTGCCACATTTTCCAGTCCTTCATGTACATGTAGTCGCTGTTCTGATACATGTTGCTATATTCGTGTCCCTTGAAGTAGACATCCATGTACTCCTTCTCGTACATGATCATCTTGCTCCACATCTCATAGTCGAACTTCTCGGCCTCGTACACAAATTTGCTGTTGAAGAAGAACTGTGGGAAGATCTCATAGATGGTGGGCAGCATCAGGCCATGGAAGTCCGGACGATGGATGACAGCCAGAGTCAAAGCATAGACGAACATGCCCTCGTTAACATGCATGCGAGCCCAGCACACGTTGTGGTAGAAGGTCTCCCAATCCTTGGCATAGTAGAAGAAGTTGAACAGACCGCGTGCCTGCTTGGCATGAGTCTTGACCAGCTGGCCGAAGAACTCGCCCTTGGGCAGCAATGAGTGCGCCTTGAACGCCTCTGCGAACTTCTTCATGTAAATGTCATAGTGCTATTTGGGGAATCAAATGCGAGATGACTTAGAAGGAGGCCACTTGAGATGTGTCTTGCGTTGTCACTTACAGTATAGTAGGCTTCGTCAAAGTAGAAATTTTTGCCATCCTTGATGTACTCCTCGAACATCAGTGGATCCTCCAAACGGTAGACAATCTCGAAGAAAAACTTCTGTTTCTCTAGGAAGGCCTTGTCGGCGATCTTGACTTCATGCGTCTGATGGAAACTGGCCGCAGCGACCACGCCCAAACAGGCCAGCAAAGCAATTGCGATTTTCATGTTGACGAGTCCTCTGGTTACACCTGCTCTACCTCAGCTACTGATTCAACTGCTCCGGATTAGACACACTCAGTTGGAGTCCAATGCCTAAAGACTGTTGCTTTTTCGGCAGCCGGCACGCTCCTTATATACCCCAAAGAAATCGAACACAGCCCAAAAATATCTGTCGCAGCCAGCGTCTAGGTGTAGCCAGGTTCAGGGGTCACGATGTCGCCAGAGCTTATCTCAGGTGCTTGGAACATCTGTTGTCGAAATCAGAGCGTATTTGTCATCACGAGCGCAAAATGTCTTATCAATCACCAAGTTGCCATGAGATAATTGCAATTATTTGAATATAAATAGAACGCAACCAGAACAACAATAAGAATCAAGTCCGGGGTCTATTGAGATTTGAATAATAGAATGCACATTTGTTTTTCGATTTTATTTCTAGAATATGTTTTGTAGCAGTTTTGGAATTTGCATTCGTGAAGCTGCTTATTGACATCAATGTTTCAATTTGTCTACCACTTAATTGTTAAGGGCTCGTCTGCTTCTGCTTATGCATCTTCTGAAGCAGGTGTTGTTAATGTCTCATTTGTCGCATTATTTATGATTTCCACTTGATGGATTTACAATATGTGTTCATATTATTGTCTGACTCGTATTAACGCTTTTAAAATGGAGTAGTTCTTGCATGCATATATACTTATGAATTTTAAGTGCTTACTTCTTATTTAATTAAGTTGGGAGATTTGAATGCAAGTTAATGAAAGATTTGGTTTGATATTTTTGCAGAAAAATGTTTGCTATCTAATTTTACTTAAGTACAGAAGTGCTGCATAATTTATAATCGACATGAAAATTCATTTATATAAATATATATATATGTATATATATTTATGTATGTATTGTATGTATTTATGCATTTGGATTATTCATTGCAATTCATATGTATATATAAATATATATATATATATATATGTATGTATTGTATTTATGTATTTATTATTATGTAGTTTAATTCAATACAATACGCAATACGAAAAATGTATTTATAAACTGGTGTGCTTGGACTCTTGTGCGCTTAGTTGCAAAAAAATTTATACAAATATTCAAATTGCCTTACAAAACTCAATCGAGCCCCAGGTCGTAAGCCTATACCTCTGTATATACGTAAATCTCAAATGTTGTTATAAAAATCTCTAATATTCTGATGGCTCTCTGTTGTGCCGATGAATTCTCTGTTTGCTGTTCGTTCACATTTAGTTTAAATCATTTATAGCTTACAAAAAAACAAAACAAAAAACAAAAATAAAAAGTTAACTGGCTTAAAGAAAGTCACACAACAGAAACTTAACAAATTGATAAGTACTTAAGAATAATATATGTTCTAAGTATTGTTCAAGAGCTAGAAAAATTCATCTTATTATGCTTTCAAATGTGTACGTCTTTATATTTAGTATATACAATTTATATATGTATATGTATATAGTATATTTATTTTAGATATTTTTTTCTTTCTTTTTAATATATATCAAAACCTTGCCCAACTTGTGCGTACAACTACCAAAAGGTATAAAGTACAAACATTACTTAAATTCAATATTTTCTTATATTTTCCATTCAAAACAATTCGCAAGTGAGTTTTATTTTTTATAAGTAGTACAAAGTATCTTTAATTTTTGACATTTGATTATTGTCACAAATATTAGGTGTATTTTGTTTTGTATTTTTGATTTATTTATTGTCTTATCATAGTTAACGGCAAAGAACAAAAGTTATGTATATAAATGTATTTATAAAAAGAAAAACATCAATTATGCAAAGAGTTCAAAAGTTACAAGAAAAAACATTTGATAACAAAAAGTTGGAATCCTTTACTCCTTACTCCTTAACATTCCCAATATAATATTGTTATTGTTACATGAAGCACCACAGTAGTCAGTAGCAATAATAAAATAACTTGCTTCCATTATTAAAGAATGTATTGGTATTGTTGGTTTTTTTTCTCTCTTAGTTTTTGTAGTACATTTAAAATGTGTAAATTTATTTATTGTATCGTGTTACTCATTCGATTTACATAGATATATGCCTTTTATTGTCATATCTCGTTACCAATTTCTTATTCCATAAATATTTTTCTTATTGTACAATATTATTTGAGCTCAAGTTTCGGCTCAACAAATTATTTTCTCTTGTTTTGTTTTCTTTTGTTTTGCGCACATTTATTTATTGTCATCGTGTCGCGTTTATTGTTTATTGTCGGCTTACATTTACATAGAACCGCATCTATATATGTATAGAGATATATATCTATATCTATATATATATATATGTACAATGTATGTGTGTTTAATTAGTAGTTGTTGCTAGAAAAATTACAATTTCACTGTAAATTTAAATGTAAAATGTAAATGTATAAGTAAGTTTCGTATGCCTATTTCATACACGGTAAAAAAGTAGAATTCCATACACGTAAATATACAAAGAGTTCTTGCTGCGCATTCCTAATCAACTGGCCTACTGGACTACAGTTGTAATCGTAGATACGAACTACAGTAAGCACTCACACACGCACACAATAGTTTCAACAGTTTTACATCTTAAAAATTATTATTATGAAGATATGTCTTTCAGATGATATTAGCCTGGTTGTTGTTCTTATACAAATGCCTCTCTATCCCTTTGGTGTTCCAAGAATCTCCAACAAACAACACGTTGTGTTCGTACAACTCGTTGATATTTATGATGTGTGATATTTATATGTGATATGAAATTATAAATTCGTTTAGAAAACTTGTTAAAAAAGACTTCAACATGGCTTGGGATATGTAAAGTGTCTTGCAAGATATGCTCCAACAAACAACTGCCTTGTCCGTTGGAGATCTCGGAACATGCACAAAGCGTCAGTTTAACGACTATCTGACTATCAGGCAAGCAATCTAGGCCGCCTTACAACCAGGCTAAAAACTGACAATATCATGTAACAGAGCAGCGAATAGAGTCCTTTGCCTTCAGATGCGGCACTTGCGCCAGCATCCACCACATTGATCCGCCAGCCAAGATTGTTGTGTGTGAAGCACTGCAATTGAAGTGGGCAACATTAGCTTATTTTCCTACTTAGGTGTTGAGGTGTTAAGTGGCTCACCTGATAATAGAGTGTGTTGGGTGCATTCATTGGCACCGTCCAATTCATGTAGCCCGGTTCCCCATCCTCGCATTGGAAGATCAGCGTGTCCTTATATTCCTCGAAGGTCTCAATCTCTGACGAGCGGTCCACAGTGCGATGCTTCCATTCACAATAGCGCCCCACTGGCAAACAAAAAGAAAAGCAATCTTAAAACCCAACAGCTAACTGAATGCGCCCTTTGTATGGTTTTCATGGTCTACGTTGATTTTTAGCTTTTCACTTTTCTCAAAGTATCTCAGAGTATTCTGAAGTACCGCTTCATATTGCTATGCAAATATGGCAATAAACCTGTTGCCCACAAGACCTTAATCACTAAATAAAGTTGAAACACGTTTCAGATCTTTGAAAAAGAGTTTGAATCGGATGAATAACAAAAGAGTTGCATACAAAAGATTAGCAAAATTACTTCGTCAGCCATAAAGGGAAGCTTTTGATTTATTTAACGCATTAATGGCTTAGGATGTCAGTCATGAATAGATCGATATATATATATAGATATGAAACTCACCGGCCGTGGGTATGGCATTGCCATCTTCGTCGTATTCAACTCCCGCATAGGCCTTCTGCTTGCGCGCCTCTAGGCCAGTCTTTTGACCCAGACCGCCCTCCGGCGAATCGGTAATGTATATTGGATGATAACTGCCAGAAGATGCAAATTAAGTACATGTTCTGATTATCACACATATAGTTGTACGACATACCTGGCCGGCTGGGAAGGATCGTTACCGCCCTCGACTAAGAACTCATATGTCAAACCGCGCTCCACAGTTATTTCCGGTATGAGAAGATCGTTAATGTACCAAGCAATGCCCCACGAAGGTACGCCCGTAATCGCCGTATATCCCCGCTTGCCGCCTGTGGGTCCAATGCTGGCCCGGAACTTGTGTTCGCCAACAATCTTGCGTGTCGGCCACGCCTTGGGACCGCTTTCATCCTTGACATCATACAGCGAGCTCTTGCACACATGATCATTCTGTAATTGGCCCCAACGTGAGATCAGCTCGTTGAAATTTGTTTCTACCGATTGTACTCACGCGGTCTGAGAAATTGATGCGTATGTCATCGGGATTGTGATCGCTGGTGGTGTGTGCGTGTGCGTTGGCCTCCTTGCGTGCGTTGAGTGGTCCCACGGCAGCGATGATAGATACCTCGCGATCAATGGGAATGGGCATGTCATAGATGGCCTCATTGGTTTGCAACAGACGCTTATACCGAATGCTGGTGACACCGTTCTTCCTGTCACCGCTGACTGCAGTGCGGAGATATAGATAGAGATAGTATTATTTGTGAAAATAAACTTGTTCATTGTTGTCTACCCACCCACAATAACATCATTGCGTGCTCCGATGCGCTCATCGGGACACACACCACGTTGGCCATCGCACTGCGATAGATCCGAGATGAAATAGTCCTCGGCACGAAAAACGCGCGCGTTCGTATCGTAAAAAGCAACCACAACATCGGATTGTGCCATTTGGGGACGTCCATTGGCGCCGGACAGACCGAAGGCCATATACTGATCCTCGGTGATGCGGCCGAACAGTTCGATCTGCAGATATTCACCCTGCAGCTCCCACTTGACCTGCAGTCTGTTGGGCAGGATCTCACGGCAATTGGAGTAAACGGGCCGAGGTGTCGTTGTCGTCTGTAATGAACAGAGATTAGGGATAAGTTGGCGTGCAACCGATTGGAAGATGCAGCATGCATGAGGCCGGGACTCTAGTACTTACGGGTGTATACCACCATGAAGGCTAATGCGGCGCATATCGGTTAAAGAGATATACAATTATGAGTTATGTGGGAATGAGCATATGGTTAAGTACAGGTGTTCGTGTGTGTGTGTGTGTGTTTGTTCGTGTGTGAATTTGTGGGTATTAATTGAGATGCAGCTTTTTGACATCACTTACCGTGATCTTCGTTTGGCCCAATGCAGGCGGCACATCGAGGTCCTTGGGTATGAAAACATGTCCAAAGTTGTGCCTATATTCCACACACCACACGGCCAACCAGTCGATATCGTAGACGGTCAGGCTGCCGGGCAGTTGAATCTCAATATCCTCGCCCTGATAGCCACGCAGCGGATCCAACGAGCCAACCTCATTGGGCACCTAAAATTCATAATAATAATAATAATCAGTATAACACTTAAATGCGTAGAGAATGGAGAATGGAATTGCAGTTTTAATTATTTTTAAAATCAAACCTAATCATATTTAACTATATAAGTCTCTTGATTTCTTTAGATAAAATAAGCTGACAACTTTTTCAAATCTTTTTGGTTACCTTTCGATTAAGAGTAAGTTGATAATCATACAAATGAATGGCAAATGTAACGAATTTATTCGTTCATTTTGGATTGGAAACTAGCTTTAATGTAATAATTGGAAATTGTAGACCAAAGTGATTTTTATATTATTGTAATATAATAATAGCTTTCGGTATTATATGATATAACGCTTCGATGTCGTTGATTCTTTGTCAAAGTGTGCTTAATCGTAATAACTCACGTAACTGAAGAACTTGGTTTAAATATCTTGGTAAGCACAAAAGATTTTCTTATAAGAAGTCATATTTTGACCGATTCTTGCTATGAGAGATAAATGATTTGGTTGATTTTTTGCTTTTTTGAATGTGAAAATGTCGTTGGTTATAGATTTGCTTCCTATAAAATGTGCAAAGCTACAATTGGGTATTTCATGCACAGTGTAAAGTGGAAAAGTAGCGAGTTCTAAGTACTACAAAACAAATTCCTAGAAAATGTTTTCCTTAGAATACTCAGAATCGGGAACTAAATAATATTTAAAAGTGGTACCAACCTTAATGCCCATGATATTTGGCTCGCTGCCATTGCCCACCCAAAAATAGGCATCGGGTCCAGCGCCATCGTAATGCAGATTGGGTCTACACAATTATAGTTACATACATATTTATGTATATAAGTAAGTTAAACATTGTTCGATTTTGTTCATGCGCTTACATATAGAATGTTTTTGCGTCCAATACGCTAATGTTACTGGAGCGTAGTCCATGGGCCAGTCGCCTAAATTCTGGCAACACACGTGGCTTGGGCACATCTATGCCAGGTGGTATAAAAACCTCTCCAAAATCGACCTGCAATTAAAGAAAACAATATGAATTGTAACAATATAATATCGAAGCTTGTGCAATTCAACAGAAATATTATTAAATAATATTTGAAACTATAACAAGAATAATAATATCAATACAAACAGGTAAATCTTTTATTTTTTATAAATAAATAGTGTATTTGGCAGGTCGAAATACGTTTCAGCTTGCTTCTCACTGTTGTTGTAAGCCAAAACATTTGTATATAGGAGTCTTATATATATATAAGCAGGCTAACGGGATTGTGAGGCCCCCAAAAAATAAGCGTGCGCGCGCAGAACTCCATAAAACAACACTCACACACAGACAAACATACCCCCAATCTGGACTGCTTGTGCGAGTGTGTTTGTGTATGTCAGTGTGTGTGTGTGTGTCTGTGTGTGTGTGTCAGCCCCCAAGATATTTTTTGACTGTCAGTCAATGGAAGCGGAGAAACAGAGAGCGTGCGTAACACAAACACACCCAAGCACATACATATACACACACACACACGCACGCACTCGCAAATGTAATAGTAACAGTAACAGCTCGACACCCTGTATAATTCTTCGCTGTGCGTGTGTGTGTGTGGAGGGGAGTGTGCGTGTTGTGTCTGTGTTTGTGTATTTATATGTGTGTGTATATGCAACCACTTGAGTTAATCAAAAATGTCTGCTGTAATTTATTTTACTATGGCGGCCATCTTTGGCTGCCACAGCTCCACCCAACGCCCACTTCAAGCCCTACCCCAAAACCCACAACCAACTCTCCTCTTCAGCATTATGTTCGCTGGTAGAGTTGTGATAACATTTTTGCAGTTCAATTTTACAAAAAGTAGATGCATTTTTTTTTTTTTTGTGTTTTTGCTCAACTTAAACAAAGTAATTTTCAGCTTGCTTCCGCGCGAAGCAGGCGGAGTTCAGCCTTGTGTGTATGTACTGCAAAATTTTGAGGAGTTGAGCTCTCCTTGAAATGGGGTGCGGTCCGGCTGCTGTGAAGCTCTCGGATGCGCATTTGTCTATGTAGAAATGTAATTAAAAATCTAAAAAAAAAAAGACAATTCTAATGAAAACAAACTTTGCCTCCACTTGGCCTGACAAAACTGACCCACATCCAAGCCAAAAATAAATAAAACAAAATCTTTTCATTTTCCACAAAATAGCATAATGCCAAAAAAAAAAGAAAAAAAAAGAAAACTTTAGCCCAAGTGCAGTTAAATTACAAAAATGTAATTACAAAATGGTTTTGGTCTTCACTAAATACACACATAAATCTGTTTGAAACGGCGCGTGCCGCTTTGAGCAACCAAGAAAATCAGCAGAGACAGCAGCAGCAGCAGCAGCAGAAGCATCAAAATGGAAAGACTTACCGTAAAGCGTCTGCACCACACCGACAGCCATCGAATGTCCTTAATCCTTTTGCCCATGGGTAAGCGCAGTATGATGTCCGTATTGTTGTGCGCCTGCAGAATGGGCGGATCACTGCGGGAGACATGACAAGAGAAAACATTATAGATAGTAGACATAGTGTGGGTGCGTTGTGTGTCTGCCTAATGCAGCATTTAAGTCCTTAAAAATCCCAAGAACTGCATCAATCCTATTCCATCTCATCCATCTCATCCTTGTGTATCCATGTCTATACAGTGTAAACGGCGCTTATTAAAAATCCCGCTGCTGCCGCTGCTCCTATGCCCACAACTCAGTGTCCCTGTCGGACAGAAGGTCGTCAAGCCATCTGGCCTCGAGGCCCAACTTCGATCCAACAGAGCACTGGTCAACAGAGCACGCCTCCAATTTGCACTGTCAATATTGACGACGGCTTGTAGTTGCAGTGTCATTAAAATTAAAGTGTAACCAGCCAGAAGATGACACAGTTTCAACCATGAATAATATGTTGGCGTGTCTCTCAGCCCATTTGAAAATGTTTTCACCCCCATCACCCTTGTAGTGACTGCAATTTTATCTGAACAAAAACACAATCGCCAATTTATGCTTGTAATTTTAATAAGCAAACCCATTTGCCAAAAATAGTATTATTAAGTTGAATTTTAAAACAATAAATTTTTTTCGAGCGCAAGACTCTAAAAATTTAATAGCAGCATCGATATACGTAGCTATATTTATGTACAGAAGTATCTATCGTAAATTAAATTCAGTTAATTACAGTGTTATAAGTGAAATTGGGTCAAAAGTGGCACATTTTAATTTACCATTATAAATAATATATTTGCAAGTAGCCTGAATATATTTTTGACCTGATTAACTGATTTATGTTATCTAATTTTCAATAATTGTTTGGAGTCCAAAATGTGTTTATTTGATTTAGTGTAATTATGTTACAGTGTATCATATTTTGACTGAAGCATTCCTTATTTCGGTTTATTTTTTGCGCTTGCATAATTTTTTTTGGCTCTGACGAAGATTTATTGCTAATGCAACGATGCGTGGCATGTCACACGTCCCCCCGCACCCCCCTCATAAGAGTATATGTAATGCTTGTACCTAGCACCGTATTACATATATATATATATATATATATATATAAATATATGAGCATTTGTGTGCAGCGATGCTTTTCATGTGTACAGCTTTTAATGTTGTGGCAGTTGTGGAATATCTGAATGTGAATCTCATTAATGAAAACTTCAAATTGAATTGAATTATTCATAATCGCTTTAAAATGCACCAATTAGAATAGAATTTTCACATATAATTAGTTGGAATTTCAAAATTACCAAAGGAAAAAATTTACTACATATTTAAACTGCCTTTGTTTTTTTTTTTAATTGGTCGTCTTTTAAAATAATATATATTGAAAGTTTTCGATGAGTTCTTTTCTCACATGAACATTACCAACTATAGAATGGGCTAAATAAAAAAATCCACTTGCTTGTATAAATATTTTGTTTGATATCATTTTACACAGATTATATATGTATTGAATAGTAAAAACCCACTTTGTATGTTAAAAGTTTTCTCTCTCCAAGCTGCTTTAATTTGTATGATATTATTATGATTGCGAATTGTTGAGAATTTAATTTATTAATTTCATGCATGAATGCAATTGGAGTTCAGCTTATATATATATATATATCTATATCTCTGCTGTTAAGTCAATTTACGCTTCTGGTCTTGCACTTTGTAATAAGGAACCCACTTTAAAATTAAAAAATCAGCACGCAGACTACAGTTTGGCTATGTTGAGTGAATTTTTCAACATCGCTGTTTGCTTAAAGTTGAGATTGCACGGCAAAAGTTTAATGCAAAAAGTTTGCTTAAATGTTTTCAAAGGGTATGTTGAGTTGGGCATGCCTCAATTCCAGTCTTTAACTATGCCAACTAACGTGAAAAGAAAGTAATATCTCATTCACTACATGATTACAACTATGTATCTGCCATAAAAATCAGTTCTTTCTCGGAATTTGGGCTTCAGTTGATTAACCAAAGTATTGTGGCTGAGTGTGCACAATCGTAAAATGCTTAAGGCTTTTCACAGTGCTTAAACTCTTTCAATAATCATAAACAACTTGACGTCGAAGTACGCGTATATCAATCCCAAGAGACATTGAGTTCTCCGATGATAATCAGAAGGCAAAATATATGTAAGTAATCAGCATTCGCCAACTGACATAAAAACTTGAGGGTGTGTTTGGTGGAGTACATTGTTAAGGGATGTGTGTGTGTGTGGGTGTGTGTGTGTGTTTTGTATGTGTATGCGTCAATCAGTCAAGCAGAACTGACTGTTGTGTAACAAGTGTTTGTCAGGCCACAAGCGACATTAGACATTGGACATGGCTAAGCACTTAATTTACACCCTTAAGGAAGGACGTCCGAGTTTTGCAGGTTGACCTTTAATGAGACCAAAATAAATTGAATGCTTCTGTGTCAACAGCAGCACAACGAATCTGTACGAATCTGTACGTATCTGTATCTGTGTCTGTGTCTGTATCCGTGTATCTGTAAGATACATTCATTTTGATTTCGTCAGGCTGTCAGTCGCTGTCCTCCTTCACTTTCTCACCCACTTCGGTTTGTTGTTTGCCTTTGAGTTCGGTTTTCCCATTGCAAATACGTTTGTATGTATTGTGTTATATTTGATTTGATGAGCTTCTGCTGCTTGCTGTGTATGGGCTTGAGATTCAGATACATTGATGCACTCAGCACACAAATCCATAAGCATCTATCGATTTTCTTATTGTTGTTTGTTTTCGTTGTTGTTACAGACGAGCACACAGACACACACACACACAAACATACACAAACATACACACAGACACTCTTCCCCCCAATTAGTTTGAAAGCCTGACGAGTGTGCTGTCCTCCTCTTGTTTATTTGTCTACTGGCCTGCAGCAAACACTGAATCCAAAATCAGAAACCAAAGCCCCAGCAGCAAAAGCAAAAGCAACAGCAACAGCAACAGAACAGTGCCAAAGTTCAGTGTGTCAATCACTATAGCTAGTTATTGACTTGGCTGCGTGCACAATTTCCGTTGAATATGACAACAACACGAGGAACAAGGCTGAAACAACTTGTTGCGTTAGTCTATCAAATTTTAGCTCAATGCGTTTCTTTTTTGCTAGCTGACTGGCATTTCAGATTTGCTTGCCTCGCAAAAGCGCACAACAATTGCGCCCGGCCCAGAAACTAGGCAACAAAACGAGCCAACTCAGCAGAGAAATAACACACGCCAAGCGACAAATGACAGAAACAGAGTAAAGCTCAATCAACCCACAAAAAATACATATATTTATAAATATATTCACTTTATATACATACGAGTATGTGCTGGTGCATAGCCATGTATTTCCAAAAATTATAATGAATATTTAATTTTTGCGCCCCATCTAAGTCATCAGCAGCAACAGCGCCAGATGAGTCCCGGGCAACGACCACTCAATTAAATTTATATGAAAATATAAAATATGTTGTAAGGGCGGGCTTCGAAGCATGCTGCATTAGTCACGCAGCAAGGGGAAACTCGTACATATGGACTTATTACAGTCGAAGTGTATACCCTGTGTCTTGTCTTATAACTCATTCCGCATTTTGGAACTTTAGAAAATGCTCTTAAATTATTTATTTATGATTGAAAATCTGTTGAGTTTTTACCAAAATATGGTAATTTTGAAACCAAGATCAGGTTGTTAGCTGTTACATGGGCTCTATCCAAAAATCTCATGCCCAAATATGCCAAGTAATAACTAAATGTGATGTTGCCATTGAAAATCTCTTGTTTAAACTTTAGTAGTTGGCAAAGCTAAACGTTACAAACGTATAAAATTGAGAAAAATACTATTCACATTTAATATTTTATGATATTTTTGTATCTTTTGCAATATTGACAAACTTTATCTTAAACTTTTTGTCAATCCCATAACAAAAAAATATTAGACAACGGATTTGAAAGTAACTCTACAAAATGGGGCAGTAAAATCGCTTTTAAGCAAATTATTTTGATATGACAAAAATATAGTACAACTGGGATGCTAGTCTTCAAATAGATATAGATATTTTCCTGTTGAAATGAGAAATTTTATCATTTATCAGTTTATGTATTCTGAGAAATTATGTAATTTTTGATCTGTGCATTAAGCACTTTGTTGTTACGGCTGCAGGATATCTGCGGGAATTTCGACTTTTTGAAAACTCAAACCGAAAAAGTGCCAGCAACAGGCGCAACTACTTGAGGCGTCTGCCACTCATTGTGTTTGCTGTCGGTGTCGGAGCTGAACAACATTTTTTATTTTTATTTTTTTGTCGCTTAATTGAGTTGAAGGCTGGCAGCAGCAGGAGCAAAAAGGCTTTTCGCCTGTTGCGGCTGCGTTGTCAACGTTGATTAACATGAACACAATGAATGATGATGGGCTGTGAGATTGGATGGCTGCCGCCTGCTCACTCATTAACTCACTTGACAATGGGCATGCTAAACTAAACTGGAAAGAAAAAAACTTCGTTTTTCCACTTTGCATGCAACACATTTTAATGAGATCAGCATAAATCAGTATCAGCAACAGTATTGAGTTGGGGGTGGGTGCTGGGTGCTGGATGCTGGATGGTGGATGGATGGTGTATGCTGTTAACAGGAGTAGTTGGCTTTGTGCATTGTAAAACGTTGCTCGAAATGCAAATGAGCAACAGACAACGGACCAACGGGGCAACGGGGCAATGGGACATCGTCGTCATGGCAATGGGGCGTTAATCAGCACAGCGTTGCTGCCGCTTTCATGATTCTCAAAAAATTCTAATTTAATTACTTATGCTCGATGCATCCATTGTGACACACACACAGCACACACAGCGGGACAAAGCGAGCGTGAACATTAAAAAGAAATGAGCAGCGACGCCAGCAGTGACGCCAGCAGCAGCGTCAGCAGCCCTTCAGCTAAACGCTGTGTTATATATATATAATTAAAGCTGATTGACGGGCGCTCAACGTTCAAGTCGCTAAGGCTGTCAGCTGCTATTACAAATGCTGGATGGCACAGTTGCCACCCAGATTTTGTCAATCAAGTGCATTTATCAATTAGTGGTGCCCCAACATGTACATGCACTTTATGTATCCAAATAAAAATCAAACTGAAACATGCATCGAAGTCATTAGACACAATAAATGCGCTCAATTATTTCGCCCAAATGTATGCTATGGTTAGCACTTAGCCGCGAAGCCACATAATATCAGCAATCATTTAGGCCCACCTGCCAATCCGCCAACACGCCAACCCAGAGGAAGGTGCATCTGGCATGCGGCTTATTGTGGCATGGGTAATGTGTGTGTGTGTGTGTCTGTGTCTGAAAGCGTAAAAGCGTGCAAGCGTTGGCGCGACGCTTCTCGTTCCGGGCAGCGACTCCAGTCCGCCACCCCGTATACATACTCACGCACACACACACACATACACTATGAGGATGAGGCATGGCAGTGTTATACATTGAACTAATAAAGCTTGGCACGTGGCATCAACAATGAAACGCATTAAAGTCGATTACAATATGAAGCTGGCAATGGAATGGGGTATGGGGTATGTGTAGAGTGGGGTTTATGGGGGTGTGGGTACCGTATTTCCATTTTCAACTGGCATGGCTTGACATGTATGTATGTGTGTGTGTGTGTGTGTGTGTGTGCACTTCTTCATGTACACGTCATCAGGCAGCAACGTCAACATCAACATGAACAACTTTCGCAAAGGTTTTTCAAGCGAGAAACCGCGTGGCAAGTGCACAGAGCAAGGGGATAAAAAGCATGCATAAAACGTATCGGAAAAGCATTTCAAAGGACGTCCAAAAAAAAGAAGAAGCATTTTTGGATACAATCTAAGCTTGAGCGTGCAGCGAACTTGAAACTTATTTGAATCCAGCCAAAAAAAACATTCGAAATTTTGTTGATTTATTGTCATTTTGGTTTTTCGTATGATTTTGTAAATTTGTTCGTATATTTAAATAATCCATTCTTAAGCGATATTCACATTTCAATGAACTGAAAAATCGTGAATATCAATAACAGACTGCAAACCAAGTTTAATTACTTAAGCACTTTTGAAACATTTTGTTAGCCGAATAATAAATGGGAGTCCAGCACCACAGAATTTTACTTCTAATGAGTGTTTCTATGGAAAGCATTTGTTAAATTGGATCGTTGTTGTAAATTTTGTTTCCAAAACGAATATAAATTTCGCCCTTTAGTTAATGTGCTCGTAAACTTTATAATCATTTTCAAAATACTCAGCGATTGTTCCTAGGAAATGTTGCTGTAAGTTTGTGCCTTTAGCAAATATAGCCGAAAAACACTCTTTACTTTCAGCACCTGTCAAAAAAATGAACTTGTTTTTTCTTTTTTGTAAATCGACTTTTTGCATATGTGTTCCATATTTGTTGTTGCTATTATTTTTTGGTGGCTAAACGTGACATTTTTGCACTGCGCAGGCATTCAAAAAGATTCAATGGGAAACACAAATCTTGACAGGTCTTAAACATATCTCAGGGACATGACAAAATGTCAGTGACAAGTGGCCGTGGCTGTGGATCTGAATGTGGCACTCTAGTCTAACCTTGGCATGCGATTAGCGGCTCGCAATGCGGCTTGGTTTAATGACAATGATCATGAAAATGATAAGGATAAGGATTAAAATGCGTTACGAGTTGCATTTGAATGCCTAATGCCTAATGCCTAATCAGTCAAATGACGTCAAATTGTGTGCGTTGCATGCAACGCATCGAGACGCGACGCTAGCAGCTGGCTCAGCGCGACTTAGTGTGCTCAAGTGGCCGTCATGTGTGGACATAGCTGGAACAGAATGAGCACGAGGCATGAGGCAGGTACAGGTGCAGGAGGAGGAGGAGGAGCAGCATTAGGGAAAGACCAAGATGCCAGTTCACAAGAAAGCAAGGTAAATAAAATTCAGAGTAGTGCGTCTTAACCTTGTGCTGCTGACGACTTAAAGTAAATACAACTAGAATGTGGCTACAATTCACAAATCTCTCTCTCTCTCTCTCATTCTTATGCTCGTTTTCTGTGTCTCTTTCTCCCGTATACACATGTTGCTGTGGCTTTCATTGTTTGCTGTTGTTTGTGGGCTGTTTTGCCACCGCAGCATGCTGTGCTTTACATTGCTGTGCCACACACACACACACTCACATACATAGTAGCACAATATATACGTATGACCGCAGATCTAACGTAAAGAAATAAATGAGTTTTTCGCATTAGGAGGCAACGAAGCGACAACAGCAACAACAACAACATTAACAACACCAACAACACCAACAACAGCAGCAACAATAAAGCATTAAACGAACGGCACGAAGCGACTTCGCAAATGGCAACCAAGATGAAAAATGTTTTTTAATTTTTAAAAGTGGTTTCATTGTCAAGCGTGCGTAACGTAAAATCTGCAAGGATACATAGCACGCACGCACACCCAAACACACACACACACACACACACACATGAACACTTCAAGTGTAAGGAAATGGGCCGTTGCGCTCGAGTAGCCGGCATCCAAAAATGCCGCCCAAGAAATTCAAGCAATACATATCTATATATATATATATATAAAATATAATTCGCAGTAGTAAAATATAATATATATTGATACATACGGTCCTTTGTATTCCTCCGGATAGGGTATAATATAGCCATCGGGCGATGGTCTCGCCGTTTTGCCCACCCAGAAGAAGGCATCCGGTCCGGTGCCGTCGTACGCAAAGGATTTAACAAACAGCGTTGACTCATCCACCGCATAGATGGAACCCTAGAATAGTGAGAAATTTTTAAAATGTTTCCTTTATTGTTTGACCAGTAGCGAATCCATTGAGTTTGCCCACCTTGATGCCATGCGCAAAGTTCGTAAACTGTCCAATGTAGCGGCCAAAATAGGGCTCCGGTGGAGCACGTCCCGCAGCTGGAAGGAGAGGAAGAAGACATAAACTAGAGTTTGAAATGGCTTTTTAATTCATCTAAAACTTTGGCAAAAAACGAATTAACTTTCATGTTGCACCTATCAAAGGGAATACAGTTGTGCTGCAGTTGCCGCATTCGTAATCCCAAGACTCTAGAAATATGCTGGGCAAAAACAAAGAGCGTCAGCTTCCTTACAAATTAATCTGCTTCACCCAAAAACTTTGTCACACAGAATGTGCACGATGCATAAAGTTTTGAGTTTCAGTCTCAGTTGGCTGTACAATTTAGTTCCCAGGACTCCACGATTCTTACCTCGACTGGCTAGCATTTGCTTTGAATAATGATGACTGCTTCTGGGAATGGGTATGAATATTATGCTGACGTTGATAATGCTGATAATGATGATAATGATGATGATGATGATGATGATGATGATGATGATGATGATGATGAAGATGATGATGCTGCTGCTGATGATGGACTTGGCAGCTTCCAACTCTGTTTGCAATACTCTTGACAGGTCCTTGGGGAGTTGTTGCTACCCCGCTGTGACTTTGCCAAGAAAATGATTGAAAACCATGAAATATATTGAAATTCGATGCTAAATTGAAGAGAGAGTGAACACATGCCCGGGGATATCTAACCAAACATTTGGAGCTGCATGCAAGCAATCTCAGCTCAAAAGCGGAAGGCAAAGCTAATTTGTAGTTGACTTCTGAGTGTCTCAAAAAGCTGCAATCTTTTATTTGGACAACCAGAAAACTTGCTTTGCTCTCTGCCAGAACAGTATCTACAAATAATCTTAATGAGAACGACATATGAAGTCTACATACTGACTTTTAAATATTGAAGAAAAAAAATACCAATATATACATAAACAAATTTATTTTAATATTAAATATTATTCGTAAATTGATTGAACACCATGAAATATGAAAAACAGCAGATTTCTGGAGGACATCAAAATTATTATTTACATAGCAAAATATAATTAAATATTAAGTAGCAAAAGCAATAAAATTTCAAGTCGGCAATTTAATTGAAATTAAGCAGCCTTCGCAATAATAATTGATAAAGCAAACTTGAATGCAACAAAATGAATTAGTTACAATTTCAGTGCGAATGTTTTTTTGCTCGTTAGCAAGTTGTTGTTGCAGCATGTTGCGGCACAGTCACTCATGCCACTTCATACTTGGCACACAGGGGTAGCTGAACAAATAATGCCCGGGTATTCCCCAGAATGTCTCAATTGTATCGACGACAAAGGCAATGATGACAGCCAAGGCGACGCCAATAGCAACACCAATACAAATAGCAATAGAAGGGCAGGGCAGGGCCGGGCAGAGCCGGGCAGGGAGGGAGGTGGGACAAGGACGTGCGCTCAACGTAATATGCATTAAATCTACTAATGCGTGCATTAATCTCTGAAGATTTGGACCGGCCCGCAAACATGCAGCACGTGTCTCCACGAAATATACGTGCTCGAGGATATTTATACAAAGTGATGACGAGCACGTTGACGCTGATGTGGATGAGGTTGTTGATGTTGATGTAGCCGATACCCGATGAGATGCTCATAAAGAGCTGGCAACTGAGCCTAAGGCTGTCCTCCATCTGCTCTTCTTGTAGTTGTTGTTGTTAATAATGTTTTGGTGGCTGCTGTGAACGGATGGGCATTGACAGTGGTGACAGGAGCCGAGGCAGTGGACTGCATGCCAAGCAAATAATAGTTCAATGGACATGTCTATCTTTCTGCCCGACTGGCTGAGTGTTTGACTGCGGCTGTCTGCCGATATTTCTCTTCATTTAGTGCGATAAGATTTGCCGCGACAGATAAAGATGTCGTTGCCAGGCAAGGAATGGCTTTTTATTTGGCTACTCGATTGAGACACCGACGGCGACGGCGACGGTGTGTTGTGACCCACATTTCAAATGAAATTTAAAGCGAAACAACAACATTTAACAGGGGATGTGTGTTCATCTTCTTTTTTTAGCAATAAAAAAGCTAATCATGCTTAAGAGCAGTTAGTCCTGAATATTGGGAACGCTGCACCCGGTATCTATAGCAATAGCCTTAAACATTTGCATTTATGCAGACAGCATAAGCCCTATAAATGAACTGGTAACCATGGGTATCAGCACGCACCACTACTGAAAGGGCTGCTGCTGCTGAATACGCACCATCGATCCTGGCCCTTGTGCCTGGAAAACATTATTCAAAGGCGCTACTCTCTTCCAAAGGGTTGGCTCCGCGCATCATACACAAATCCGAGCGCATCCCTCTCCGGCTGCACAATAGTAATTCTCATCTGGTTGTAGTAATCATCAAAAGGACGACGACGACGAGTCGTCAGTCAGGCAATAACTACAAGAGACAGACAGAGAGAGAGAGAGAGAGAGAGAGAGCAACAGCCTAAAAGCCGTAACCACTGGCAACCAAAAAAATGTCACGAAAATTAAGCCGATTTGAAGCCCTAAATACAATGTCAGCATCATTTGTGCTGGGGACAACACAATACAAAAGCTGTCTTCTTCTCTGCTGCTGCTAGCAAAGATGTGGTATAAAAGTATAGCACAAAAATGTTATTAATACAATAAATAGTGCATTGGAGGACTGTTTAATTTTAGTTGAGTAAGATGTATTATTAAATGTCGGGACGGCGCGAACGCCATTCCCGGCTACCAAAAATTACACGCACGAGTTATTCACATTAGGAATAATCGCAGAGGTCAACTCAGCCGAATGTGCAATGACCGAGCCTCACTCCGGAGGAACCGCCTTAGTGATCACGGTTAACCTCTACGCCAGGTAAGTATGCTTTTCTCAGCTCGGCAACTGAACTACCATGGCCACACTGCTAGAACCACTTGGGAATTACTTGGGATAGAAGGTATGCACAGGACCCTGAAAGTAGGCAACACTGTAACGCAGGTAGTTATTTCACAGGATATTTCAGAGAGATTTATTGCAATTAGCTCGAAGACAGGATAGGGCCGAGATAATGAGGTTATAAATGCCGCAACGGTTGCTGCTTAATATAATCGTCCGTGCTTGGTATTTATTCTATTTATTTACTCGTCGCAACATCAAAGGAACAAATGATAATTAAATTCGCACTAATCTGCCCGTAATTTATTTTATCACATGCCCATCTTCGACTTTGACGTCGTCATCAACATTATCGTCAACAGGGGTTCTGCTCTGCTTCTGTTTCTGGTTCTGGTTGTGGTTCCGCATGCACGTCGCACACACAACGCACGAAATTCCAAATCAAATTTTCATTTACTTCCCCAAATAGACTCTCGGCAAGCAGGTTGCCCTTATGCACCCCATACCCCAAATCCCACAGTCCAAATGCCTGGGAAGCCGGCGGGTTCATTGGTTGGTTGGTCGCCCAACATCATTAAAGCTCGAAAATATTCCTCCCCCAGAAATGTTGTTGTCTATGCTGTGTACTCCCTTATATCACGAGGGATGCGTGCTGTATGCTTCAATGTGTGTGTCTGTGTTGTGTGTGTTTGTGTGTTGTGTATGTGTATGGATGGCAAATCGAATAAAATTTAGCTGACTCAATAAAAATCAAAAAGCGTTAATGCTAACGATATGACTTTAACCTGAAACCGAGTAAATTGTTGCTTGTGTCAAAGCCAAACAAAAAAAAAAAAGAAAAGGGGGTCGACGATGGCATGAATTTTGGGCGGAAAGGCAGCAGGATACGGCAACTGGAAGCAATATTGCACCGTAATCTGACAGCGACAATTTTCGGACTTCTTTTCCTTTGCGTGAGGGGGCACTGGCTTTAAGACTTGCCAAAGAAGCGAAGCGACAACGCTGAAATAAATGATGATAAATAAATAGGAAAACGCGGAAAAGAAGGCTGGACTCGCGTACACAAACAAGGCAAAAGGAAAAGCGGCTAATGAATACAATCAAATGGAATCGGATGGGTTGGGTTGCGATGGGTTGGGTTGGGTTGGATTAGGGGCAGCATCTTTTCGGTGCCATTGATCGATGAATGGGGTAACTCAACTGTCGCCACGGCTGATTGTTGAAAGGCGTCTGGGCATTTATTTGAATTGCCATTTCGCTTCACTTAGAGCAACAATCATTTACAGTCGCAGAACTCTCAGATATCATTAATTATAAGTCCATAATTGTTTTAGGCGAAGACGGCTTCTTATAAACGGTTCAAGAACCTACACTTGTTATGATATTTTTAACCATTATTAGTATTATAATTCGAATTTTGCTTAGCTAAATAAATATAATTAATTATGATTAACATTATTTAGCTAAAATAAATTATTAACCTTTTATAAATTAAAACTTCTCAAACTCATGTTGTAGTTTTATAAGCTAAACAATTCCGCAGAATTAAAAGAAGGAATTCAAAAGCTTTTATTGCAGTCAAACAGATACTTTGAAGTCACATATCACCTTTTTCTAATTCAATCTGATTTGCCTCTCAAATAATTCTACAAATTGTTAATTTTTTAATTGGCATATCAATTTCATATTAATTAAGATTATTAAATATTCTTTCGCAGAAACCCTTCTGAGTGTTCCCAAAAATGAAACCGAGTTGGCATTGTGGTTTTCTGTATGAACTAGTTTTTTCCAGTTTATCATATTTATTTTCATTCATATATAAATATAGGTAAAAAGGGTTTTACAGCATTGTAAGAGGAAACTTCCCGTGTGTAAGCATTTCAATTTTAAGGACAAAATAGTTTGCCATCGACATAATATCATCATATAAAAGTCTGTAAAATCTGGATTGGTTCATATGGCTGCCATAGCATCATCATCTTATAAAAGTCAGTAAAATCTGGATTGGTTCATATGGCTGCCATAATATGTAAATCAATAGAACGCATTCGTTTTGTCAATACCAAAATGTACTGCTGTAAGGATCCGTCCGTTCGCATAATTGTATCTTTCCGTTCGTAAACGATGAAGATATTGAAAATCCAATATTCAAACTGTAAGATCAGATTTCT